ACAGTAAGTTCATACCAATTAGAAAGCAACAGAAGTGAGAGAATCAGAGAAAAAAAACCTGTTTTAACCATATGGTTCAATCACGAAGTTTAGCCACGGGTTTAGAAGGAAAAGAAAACAGGGAAAACAGAAAATAGAGATGGCCATGTTATTTAACTTTTGGGTAGCAGGAAAAGCATTTCCTGAGACTGGTTTTAGCCATGTTACTGAGGCCTTCCGCCGGCTTACCGGCTCACCCTTTACAAAAATTATAAGCAGCATCATATGATGTGGATTCTTGAAAGCAATAAGCAACAAGAGTATGAAAAAAATATAGAGGAAGGTGAACCTTAATAAACTAGAATAAGGAAGACAAGCTGCACTTTGAGAACGATCAACACAAGTTTAGAATCACTTAGAAGAAGTGGAGAAAAAACAGAAGCAGTGCATGATAGAAGAGAAGATAAAATAGAGCGTGCAAGAAGTATATGGGCCACTTTGCACCGAACACAGCCGCCAGAGTTAGATACGAAGAACATAACATTCAAAGAACATGCAAAGACCTTCTTAGACCTGCCTTCAGGTATTCAAAGAAAATCCTTCCGGATACTATACAAGACACATGTGAGGCTTCTTTTAGAATATGCAGAACCAGCATAAAATTCACACCTGGAAGCGTAGAGAAAATATAGAAGGTTCAGGGATTAGCAACTAGACGGGTTCTCAGAGAAGGTTCAGCTGCAAGAAGAGGCTTAGAGAAGTTATCCTGACAGTCTTCGAAAGACAAAAAGCAAATAAGATGTGATAACAACGTAAAGATCTGTCAAAGGATTGGTTAGAACAGACTGAAATGAGAGGTACAAGGATGAGAGAGAACAGTTGGAAGCTAAAAATACAAATAATTCAGAGGGACACGAGGAAATTGTTCATTGGTGTCACAGTGAAGGTCACACAAGCATACTGACAACCACACTGACACTGTTTACACTTAACTCGGTACCAGTAAGACACAACGTGCAGTGATTTGCTCTTATTATAGTCAGCTTTATCAAGACGGATTACTAGGTATACTCTGGAGTCTTGTGTGTGGAGAGATGCTTGGAACTAGGTGTACCGGAGTCTTCACTGAGGCAGTCTACCACCATATTCCTAGAAACACACATTGAATATGTTTAGAGACTTACGACAGTCCAGTACACATTAGAATCTTTAGAATCCTAAATCAAGACAGGCGTAAAATTAAGCTCGCCTAAAACCAGTGTCTGAGTCAGAAGCGCCTGTGTAGAGCCATACCTGATAAACTACACAAAACTACGAAGACTGCATAAAGTAATTCTCACAATTTAAAAAACACAGGTGGACTGTGTGGACAGACAATTAAACTTTAAACTACAGACCAGGTGACAACTTTGGAGACTGAACACACGTTCTCAGGGAAGGTAGAGGCTAGTAGTAATTATCACAGTTCACTACATGCCTCTTTATGGTGTAGTAGTTCACTGCCCCGCTGGTCTGTTTATGAACCAGCCCTGATTGCTACACAGTCTTAAGAATAGATACGACACGACCCACGAGGGTATGAGGTAGGGCCAAGAGTGAAGACTCTGTCCCCATAATCACATGTCCCTGAGACACCACAACAGTAACAAGTGACACACTGCCGTTGTGTTTAGGTGAATCGCTAAACCAGTATGGGTAATTGAGAACATACAGAGATAAGAGAAGTGAGAGCTGGAAGTAGTGACGCACCTGGGACAATACTGAAGAAAACACACATCGCAACAAGCTATCATTACGACAAGGTGTTTAACTGTCAAGTTATGACTTGATTATACGATAGGTTATCCTGCAGCCTGTTGTTGCTTCACTAAACCTGGACTTTGCTTCACTACACCCTGTCTTTGCTTCACTACACCCTGTCTTTGCTTCACTACACCCTGTCTTTGCTTCACTACACCCTGTCTTTGCTTCACTACAACCTCTGTCTTTGCTTCACTACACCCTGTCTTTGCTTCACTACACCCTGTCTTTGCTTCACTACACCCTGTCTTTGCTTCACTACAACCTCTGTCTTTGCTTCACTACACCCTGTCTTTGCTTCACTACACCCTGTCTTTGCTTCACTACACCCTGTCTTTGCTTCACTACAACCTCTGTCTTTGCTTCACTACACCCTGTCTTTGCTTCACTACACCCTGTCTTTGCTTCACTACACCCTGTCTTTGCTTCACTACAACCTCTGTCTTTGCTTCACTACACCCTGTCTTTGCTTCACTACACCCTGTCTTTGCTTCACTACAACCTCTGTCTTTGCTTCACTACACCCTGCCTTTGCTTCACTACACCCTGTCTTTGCTTCACTACAACCTCTGTCTTTGCTTCACTACACCCTGTCTTTGCTTCACTACACCCTGTCTTTGCTTCACTACAACCTCTGCTTTTGCTTCACTACACCCTGTCTTTGCTTCACTACAACCTCTGTCTTTGCTTCACTACACCCTGCCTTTGCTTCACTACACCCTGTCTTTGCTTCACTACAACCTCTGTCTTTGCTTCACTACACCCTGTCTTTGCTTCACTACACCCTGTCTTTGCTTCACTACAACCTCTGTCTTTGCTTCACTACACCCTGTCTTTGCTTCACTACACCCTGTCTTTGCTTCACTACAACCTCTGCTTTTGCTTCACTACACCCTGTCTTTGCTTCACTACAACCTCTGTCTTTGCTTCACTACACCCTGCCTTTGCTTCACTACACCCTGTCTTTGCTTCACTACAACCTCTGTCTTTGCTTCACTACACCCTGTCTTTGCTTCACTACACCCTGTCTTTGCTTCACTACAACCTGTGTTTTTGCTTCACTACAACCTCTGTCTTTGCTTCACTGCAACCTCTGTCTTTGCTTCACTACACCCTGTCTTTGCTTCACTACACCCTGTCTTTGCTTCACTACACCCTGTCTTTGCTTCACTACACCCTGTCTTTGCTTCACTACAACCTCTGTCTTTGCTTCACTACAACCTCTGTCTTTGTTTCACTACACCCTGTCTTTGCTTCACTACAACCTCTGTCTTTGCTTCACTGCACCCTGTCTTTGCTTCACTACACCTTGTCTTTGCTTCACTACAACCTCTGTCTTTGCTTCACTACACCCTGTCTTTGCTTCACTCCAACCTCTGTCTTTGCTTCACTACACCCTGTCTTTGCTTCACTACACCCTGTCTTTGCTTCACTACAACCTGTGTCTTTGCTTCACTGCAACCTGTGTCTTTGCTTCACTACACCCTGCCTTTGCTTCACTACACCCTGCCTTTGCTTTACTACACACTGCCTTTGCTTCACTACACCCTGCCTTTGCTTCACTACACCCTGCCTTTGCTCCACTACACCCTGTCTTTGCTTCACTACAACCTGTGTCTTTGCTTCACTACAACCTGTGTCTTTGCTTCACTACAACCTGTGTCTTTGCTTCACTACAACCCGTGTCTTTGCTTCACTACAACCTGTGTCTTTGCTTCACTACACCCTGCCTTTGCTTCACTACACCCTGCCTTTGCTTCACTACACCCTGCCTTTGCTTCACTACACCCTGGATTTGCTTCACTACACCTTGTCTTTGCTTCACTACACCCTGTCTTTGCTTCACTACACCCTGTGTCTTTGCTTCACTACACCCTGCCTTTGCTTCACTACACCCTGTGTCTTTGCTTCACTACACCCTGTCTTTGCTTCACTACACCCTGTGTCTTTGCTTCACTACACCCTGTCTTTGCTTCACTACAACCTGTGTCTTTGCTTCACTACACCCTGTCTTTGCTTCACTACAACCTGTGTCTTTGCTTCACTACACCCTGTCTTTGCTTCACTACAACCTGTGTCTTTGCTTCACTACACCCTGTGTCTTTGCTTCACTACACCCTGTCTTTGCTTCACTACACCCTGTGTCTTTGCTTCACTACACCCTGTCTTTGCTTCACTACAACCTGTGTCTTTGCTTCACTACACCCTGGGTCTTTGCTTCACTACACCCTGCCTTTGCTTCACTACACCCTGTGTCTTTGCTTCACTACACCCTGCCTTTGCTTCACTACACCCTGCCTTTACTTCACTACACCCTGTGTCTTTGCTGCACTACACCCTGCCTTTGCTTCACTACACCCTGCCTTTGCTTCACTACACCCTGCCTTTGCTTCACTACACCCTGCCTTTGCTTCACTACACCCTGTGTCTTTGCTTCACTACACCCTGCCTTTGCTTCACTACACCCTGCCTTTGCTTCACTACACCCTGTGTCTTTGCTTCACTACACCCTGCCTTTGCTTCACTACACCCTGCCTTTGCTTCACTACACCCTGTGTCTTTGCTTTACTACACCCTGCCTTTGCTTCACTACACCCTGCCTTTGCTTCACTACACCCTGTGTCTTTGCTTCACTACACCCTGTGTCTTTGCTTCACTACACCCTGCCCTTGCTTCACTACACCCTGTGTCTTTGCTTCACTACACCCTGCCTTTGCTTCACTACACCCTGCCTTTGCTTCACTACACCCTGGGTCTTTGCTTCACTACACCCTGCCTTTGCTTCACTACACCCTGCCTTTGCTTCACTACACCCTGCCTTTGCTTCACTACACCCTGCCTTTGCTTCACTACACCCTGCCTTTGCTTCACTACACCCTGCCTTTGCTTCACTACTCTCAACAGTACCAGTGGGGTGCCCATGGAATACTTGTAACTCGGAAGATATATGTCAACAATAAACTCGGGTGTGACTGGTGTGTTGCTGCTGTGTTTCTGGTGTGTTGCTGGTGTATTGATTTTGGAGAGAGTGAAACAGTTTAGATGAACGAGAGATCAAGGTAGAATGAAAGGTGCAGTTGGAACGAGAGAAGCGGTGAACGAGTCAAACACAGGTGTATAGTTAAGGCAGGTGTTACCATGATATGTGGAAGGAGGCAGGTGTGTGTACCATAACATACACAATCTCACAACTACCCCCTCCCCCCCTTTCATCGACCCAGGACGGAGAAGGCTCGGGTATTGGCCATTCCTATTCTCACTTGTACGACACCACTTCTTGTTTTCTATGCCAGAGCAACAAAAATTCGATGGTAAGTTTTAAGTTATTGTCAGAGCCTCCGGCCCGGGAGCTAGGCTTAACACCGGCCATATCTGGGAGAATAGATAGATTTTTTTTATATCTCCCCCTCACTAAATACCTTTGTTAATGACATTTGTCATAATAATTTTAGTAGATGACAGTAGATTCAGAATTTTTTGTCTAGCAGTTATGGCTGGTGTGTAGCCGGGCTCTCCCAGGGCTCCCTGACTCCCTCCCAGCTGGAGTAATGATGCAGATCTGCACTAATAGTATTTTCAGATATACGTCTTTTCTACTCCCTGTCTTCTTGTTCATCTGATTATGTCCCGCCGCTCCGGAGTGCCATCACTCGATGGCACAGCCGTGTCATGTGTTTGTTTGTCTGTAGAACGTTGTTGTGTTGCACTCCTACTTACTCTTTTGCCAATGACCAGCCAGTCTTCATACAGTAAGTTATTTCATGTTCTTTATGGGCGCAAGTATAATTACTATGTGTATACGATGTTACAAGATACGAGGTCAGGACTGGCGGTGTTGTGGGCGTAGGCTCCGTGGGCGTAGGTTGTGGTGTGGGCGTAGGCTGCTGTGTGAGCATTGATTTCATTGTGGGCGTAGTCTGTGGGTGTGGGAGTGATGGGTGAGTGTGAAAGTGATACAAGGAGGGGTGCGACAGGTCATCTGGTCATGGGTAGGACCTGCCTGCTTTACTCTGCATGGATATTCCTCCTTGTTTCAACAGCCTGACTGCTTTTCGGGTATAATCTTTCTTCTTAGATCTGTCACTGTCAGTTCTTCAACTCCTAAGAGCTGTGTTTATGCTCAGAGTTAATATTTAACTTCATGTTAAGGTAAGACCAAGCCGGCCGGTGAAGGTCTGGGGTATAGTTGTGTCAGGTGTAACAACACAAACACACACAAACACACACACTTGGTGTATGGTTGTATCAACTCCTGCACTACACACACTTGTTGTGTATGGGTGAGCAGTACACATGTTTGTCTGTGGTGTAGGTGACACAAATGCTTGCATACACATACACTTGGTGTGTGTGCGTGAGGTATTGAAGATGTGTGTGGTATATGTGTGTGTGTGTGTGTGTGTGTATGTGTGTGTGTGTGTGTGTTGTACACTGCTCACCCACACACACACACACACACACACACACACACACATACACACAACCTACCTGGGTCACACTCCACTCTTATCTATTGGGTTTTTATTTTCAGTTATGTTCCGTGTTTCCTGCATTATGGAAATCGGCAGAAGCCTTTTCAAATTTTCCATTTGCGAGTCTCAACCCAGAGGTAATGATCAGTTTAAAGCATTTCCTAGCTAGCTTTTGTAGGACCATATATTAGCTGGGCTCTCCAGACATTGGTAAGGCATCATAACCTAAGACCGAATATGTTACTTGTTATGACCAAGTCACGTAATCAATTAACCATTGAAGGTGGGAGGTGTTGCTTATATCTTACCAAGTCTGGGGAAGGTTCAGGCTGGGGTGCTGACAGCCGCGGATACCGGCATGTTATAGCCATCCTCAGAACCCACCAGGTAGTGGCGGTGTAGCGCTTCTTGGAATCCAGCTCACCACGTAGTCTTGTAGCCCACAGGCTTGTTAACCCACGGCCCAGCCCACACTAACTATAAAACTACTGCACACACCTGCACACCGTCACCAGCTCACACAGCTGAGTGACGGCAGGGCACTGTGTTACCTGTGACGGCAGTCACAGTTATTAAACTCTTTGGCAACACCCGTCACCATAAATTCTAACATTGACAACCAAGCAGTTTGCCTCTACTGAGACTTAAGGTGATCACAGAATTAGTGTGTGAGTGCACCAATGCAAAGTTGCCACTACACACTACAGTAAGTGGTGATGCAGCAGCATTATTTAGAGTACCGTCACACCCACTCACCAGGACAGTCAGTGGACTCGACCCTAACACAAAAAATATGAACCGCCTGCCAGTCCCCCACCCTTGTTGTGGACATTGTGCCCCGTCTGGTTTGTGTTGTGTGTTGTCACCCTACCAGAGTCGACAGCCCTCCCCCCACACACGTTCCTCAGCCCCCACGCGTTCTTCAGCCTCCACACATGTTCCTCAGTCCTACACATGTTCCTCAGCACAACACATGATCCTTAGCACCATACGTGTTCCTGAGCCACACTCACATGTTCTTCAGCCCCACACACGTTTCTCAGCCCTACTCACATGATCTTCAGCCCCACACACATGTTTCTCAGCCCCACTCACCTGTTTCTCAGCTCCCCCACATGTTCCCCAGCATCACACACATGATCCTTAGCACCACACATGCTCCTACGTTCCATTCACATGTTCTTCAGCCCCACACACATGTTCCTCAGTCACACAAATATTAATCAGTTCCAAGCATGTTCCTCAGCCCCGCACACACATGTTCCTCAGCCCCACACGTGTTTCTCAGCCCCACACACACCCTTCAGTCCACATACATGTTCCTCAACCCCGAACACATATGCTCTTCAGCCCCACACGTGTATCTTAGCCCCACACACATGTTCTTCTGTCCCGCAGATGTGTTCTTCAACATCACACACATATTCCTCAGCTCCCACATATGTTCTCATCTCCCACACATGTTCCTCAGCTCCCACACATGTTCCTCAGCCCCACACACATGTTATTCAGCTCCCACATATGTCCCTCAGCCCCCACATGTTTCTCAACCTCCACATGTTCCTCAGCCCAAAACGCAAGTTCCTCAGTCTCACACACATGTTCCTCATCTCCCACACATGTTTCTCAGCCCCACACACGTGATCCTTAGCCCCCGCATGTTCCTCAGCCCCACACGCATGTTCCTCAGCCCCACACACATATTTCTCAGTTCTACACATGTTCCTCAGCCCCACATATATGTTCTTCAGCCCCACACACACATGTTCATCTCCTACACATGTTCCTCAGCACCACACACATGTTTCTCAGCCCCACACACATGCTCTTCAGCCCCACACACACATGATCTTTAGCCCCCACATGTTCCTCAGTCCCACACATGTTCCTCAGTCCCACACACATGTTCCTCAGCCCCCCACATGTTCCTCAGCCCCATACACATGTTCCCTAGCCCGACACATGATCCTCAGCCCCACACACATGTTCCTCGCCCAAAACACACATGTTCTTCAGCTCCACATGTTCTTCAGCCTCACACATGTTCCTAAGTCGCACACACATGTTTTTCAGCGCTACACACATATTTATCAGCCTCACACACATGTTCTTCAGACCCACACGCGTTCCTCAGCCGCACACACATGTTCTTTAGCCTTAAACACATGTTTCTCAGCCCAACACACATGATACCCAGCTACCACAATGTTCTTCAGCACAATACACATGTTCCTCTGCTGCACACATGTTCTTCAGCTGTTCATACATGTTCTTCAGCACAACACATGTTCTTCAGCACAACACACATGTTCTTCAACCCCACACACATGTTAACCACAACACACATGTTCTTCAGCCCGAAAACCATGTTGTTTAGACCCACAAACACATGTTCATCATCAATACACATATGTTCCTCAGTCCCACAGTGTTCTTCAGCCCCACACACAAATTCCTTAGAGCCATACACATTCATCAGCCTTACAAACAAGTTTTTCAGCCCTTCACACATGTTCTTCAGCCCCACACATGTGTTGTTCTTCAGCCCCACACATGTGTTGTTCTTCAGCCCCACACATGTGTTGTTCTTCAGCCAAACACACATGTTCTTCACCACCACAAATATGTTCTTCAGCCACACAAATGTTCCACAGACCTATACACATATTGAGCTCCATACATTTTACAGTAAAGACCCACTACACCCCACAACAACCACCCACTACCACCCCACAACAACCACCCACTACACACCACAATAACCACTCACTACACCCCACAACAAACACCCACTACACACCACAACAACCACTCACTACACCCCACAACAACCACCCACTACACACCACAATAACCACCCACTACACCCAACAATAACCACCCACTACACCCCAAAATAAACACCCACTACACCCCACAATAACCACCCACTACACACCACAATAACCACCCACTACACACCACAATAACCACCCACTACACCCCACAATAACCACCCACTACACCCCACAATAACCACCCACTACACCCCACAATAACCACCCACTACACCCCACAATAACCACACACAACACCCCAAAATAACAACACACTACACCCCAAAATAACCACCCACTACACCCCACAATAACAACCCATTACACCCCACAATAACCACCCCATTACACCCCACAATAACCACCCACTACACCCCACAATAACCACCCACTACACCCCACAATAACCGCCCACTACACCCCACAATAACCACCCACTACACCCCACAATAACCACCCACTACACCCCACAATAACCACCCACTACACACCACAATAACCACCCACACACACCACAATAACCACCCACTACACACCACAATAACCACTCACTACACCCCACAATAACCACCCACTACACACAACAATAACCACCCACCACACACCACAATAAACGCCCACTACTCCCGAAAATAACCACCCAACACCCCACAATAACCACCCACTACACACCACAATAACCACCCACTACTCACCACAAACCACCCACTACACCCTCACAATAACCACCCACTACACACAACAACCACCCACTACACACCACAATACCCACCCACTACAACCCACAATAACCACCCTCTACACACCACAATATCCACTCACATACACCCCACAATAACCACTCACTACACACCTCAATAACCACTAACTACACCCAACAATAACCACCACTACACTCCACAATAACCACCCATTACACCCTACAATAACCACCCACTGCACCCCATGATAACCACCCTCTACATCCCATAATAACCACCCACTACACCCCATGATAACCACCCACTGAACCCCACAATAACCACTCACTACACCCCACAATAACCACTCACTACACCCCACAATAACCACCCCACTACACCCCACAATAACCGCTCACTACACACCACAATAACCACCCACATACACCTCACAATAACCACCCACTACACACAACAACCACCCAGTACACACCACAATAACCACTCACTACACCCCACAATAACCACCCACTAAACACCACAATCACCTCCCACTCCATCCCACAATAAACCCTCAACACACCCCACAATAACCACCCACTACAACACCACAATAACCACCCACTAACACTCCACAATAACCACCCACTACACACCACAATAACCACCCACTACACACCACAATAACCACCCACTACACACCACAATACCCACCCATTACACCCCACAATAACCACCCTCTACGCACCACAATAACTACCCCACTGCAACCCACAATAACCACCCACTGCACACCACAATAACCGCTCACTACACCCCACAATAAGCGCTCACTACACACCACAATAACCACTCACTACACCCCACAATAACCACCCACTACAACCCATAATAACCACTCACTACATACCAAAATAACCAACCATTACACAAACACAATAATCTCCTGCTGCACGCAATAACTACCAACTACACCCCACAATAACAACCCACAAAACCCAACAATAATCACTCACTACACACCCCTCAATAACCACCCACTACACACAATAACCACACACTACACGCCACAATAACCACCCACTACACCCCTCAATAACCACTCACTACACCCTACAATAACAACTCACTACACACCACAATAACCACCCACTACACCCCACAATCACCACCCACTACACCCCACAATAACAACTCACTACACACCACAATAACCACCCCACTACAACCCCACAATAACCACCCACTACAAACCCCCCAAAAACAACTCACTACACAATACAATAACCACCCACTACACCCCACAATCACCACCCACTACACCCCACAATATCCACCCACTACACACAACAACCATCCCCCTACATACCACAATAACCACTCACTACACCCCACAATAACCACTCACTACACCACACAATAACCACTCACTACAACCCAACAATATCCACTCTCTACACCCCACAATAACCACCCACTACACAACACAATAACCACTCACTACACCCCACAATAACCAAATCACTACACCACACAATAACCACTCACTACACCCAACAATAACCACTCACTACACCACACAATAACCACTCACTACAAACCACACAATAACCACTCCCCTACACCCCACAATAAACCACCCACTACACACAACAATGACAACCCACTACACCCCACAATAACCACCCAATACACCCCACAATAACCACCCACTACACACCCCAATGACCATCCACTACACCCCACAATAACCACCCACTACACACCACATTAACCACCCACTACACCCCACAATAACCACCCACTACACACTATACAATAGCCACCCACTACACACCACAATAACCTCCCACAACCCACGACAATACCCCCCCCACTACACACCACAATAACCACCCACTACTCACCAAAATAACCACCCATTACACACCACAATAACCTCTCTCTACACCCCACAATAACCACCCACTACACACCACAATAACCGCCCACTACACACTAACCACTTACTACACCCCACAATAACCACTCACTACACCCCACAATAACCACTCACTACACACCACAATAACTACCCACTACACCCCACAATAACCACCCACTACACTCCACAATAACCACTCACTACACCCCCCAATAACCACTCACTACACACCACAATAACCACCCACTACACACCACAATAACTACCCACTACACACCACAATAACCACCCACTACACACAACAACCACACACTACACACAATAACCACCCACTGCACGCAATAACCACCCACTACACGCAATAACCAACCCACTGCACACAATAACCGCCCACTACACACAATAACCACCAACTACACACAATAACCACCCGCTGCACACAATAACCACCCACTACAGACAATAAACCACCCACTACACACAATAATCACCCACTGCACACCACAATAACCTCCCCACTACTCCCAATAACCACCCACTACACACAATAATTACCCCTACACCACACAATAATCACACATTGCACACCGTAACCGTCCACTACACACAATAACCACCCACTACACACAATAACCACCCACTACACACAATAACCACCCACTACACACAATAACCACCCACTACACACAATAACCACCCACTACACACAATAACCACCCACTACACACAATAACCACCCACTACACACTTTAACCACCCATTACACACAATTACCACCAACTACACACAATAACCACCAACTACACACAATAACCACCCACTACACACTTTAACCACCCATTACACACAATTACCACCAACTACACACAATAACCACCAACTACACACAATAACCACCAACTACACACAATAACCACCCACTACACACTTTAACCACCCATTACACACAATAACCACCAACTACACACAATAACCACCCACTACACAAAACCACCCTCACCACCACTCGGGCTTGCATCAATGACACTCTTAACCATCCTGGATCCCATGGTGCCCCTTAGTCTTCTCATGGCCCATGTTAACTCCCAGACCAGGTCTACCTACTGATCACTATTGATGCTGGTGATTCATGTGTGTGTAGGCCTCCTCTTTCTACCGGCCTACATTTTGCACCACCTCAGATGCAAGTAGCAGGACTGGTGTATATTTCTTTGTTTTCCTTTTCCAGTATCTCACGTGTATGATAACATTGTTTTAGCTGATATTAACTTAGAGGTAAGGCTTGCTGGAGGCATGTGTTCAGTGTTTATGCATGATGCTTAGTAGTTGACTACTATATCACCTAAATAGTTAAAGGTAGTGTATGTAGTGGAATCCCGGTGTTCGAACAACCTGGAGTCAGAACAGTTTAGTTCAGAAGAAAACTGACCCGTTCTTTGAGCGTTTTTCTGGATTCCGAACGCTCTGGCTTGTTTAATATTCAGTTGTTAAAAACTTTCCAGGAAAGCCCTGTTTCAAAGGTGCTTTGACACTGACCTGACTCTCGGAGACTTCTGGAAGAGTCAGTTCAACATTCTCCAGTGTGTGAGGCTGATAATTAAAGCCTGAGAAATACTGTTTCAGACTTCGAACTTTTCGCAGTTCGCACACCACATGTGAACCAGAGTTGAAACGCTGAGGTTTCACTGTACATGTATAGCGCATGTTGGTAGTATCCTAGTATGATAAGAGACATCAGTGTACACGCTTTTTAAACTAGCAAGGTTGTATATGTACCCTTGTCACTTTAATGTCCAGAGTAGATTTGAAAGTATGATAATAAACTAATATTGAAAGTGTGATATTAAACATCAATTTTATGTATATAGAGTAAAAAAAATTGCCTGCAATACAAAAATAATGTAAGATCAATGTGAGGGTGTAAGAGACGGAGTGTGTAGTCTTGGCTTATCTTACAGTTCTCCCTCAACATCTCAGACGACCCCAAGGAAGGTCACAGTAATCTCATCGAGAGAGCAGAGATCGCTCAGCTTGTTCGCTCCCGAATGCAAAGTCTAGGTAAGTCCCCCAGTACACCTCCTTTCCATGCTTGTCTTAGGTAGGTAGGTAGTAGATTCACCGGTATAATCGCCTGGCCCGGGCCATTTCCAAGAGGTGGCCCGGCCTTGGCTCCCTGTAGTGGGAGTTTCAGGCCATGGGAGGAGATACAAGTACCTCCTGGTCTTCGTGACTGTCATCATCCTCATAGTTTGCCAGGAAAAATAAGTCAGTAGAGTCAGTTTTAAGTAACTTTACATCACATACTGGTTACTTTGATAATCTAAACAATTCTGTCAGTGTTTTTTTCTGTCAGTTTTTTTTTTCAAGTTAAATATCTGTGAAATTTTAGCGAAGGTAATTTATTTATACTAATTGTAACTTAAGGTAAAAAGTGCTTCACTCGAGGTAACAGGTGGGTTTGTAGCCAGCTGGATCACCCACCTGGCTGTAGGTGGCCGGAATGAGGGTGTGGGTGGCCGGAATGAGGGTGTGGGTGGCCGGAATGAGGGTGTGGGTGGTGGGAATGACCTCTAAGGGGATCGTGCCTCCACTACATAACACAGCCTCCACTACATAACACAGCCTCTACTACATAACACAGCCTCTACTACATAACACAGCCTCCAGTACATAACACAGCCTCTACTACATAACACAGCCTCTACTACATAACACAGCCTCCACTACATAACACAGCCTCTACTACATAACACAGCCTCTACTACATAACACAGCCTCCACTACATAACACAGCCTCTACTACATAACACAGCCTCTAGTACATAACACAGCCTCCACTACATAACACAGCCTCTACTACATAACACAGCCTCTACTACATAACACAGCCTCCACTACATAACACAGCCTCTACTACATAACACAGCCTCTACTACATAACACAGCCTCTACTACATAACACAGCCTCTACTACATAACACAGCCTCCACTACATAACACAGCCTCTACTATATAACACAGCCTCCACTACATAACACAGCCTCTGCTACATAACACAGCCTCCACTACATAACACAGCCTCTACTACATAACACAGCCTCTACTACATAACACAGCTTCCACTACATAACACAGCCTCCACTACATAACAGCCTATACTACATAACACAGCCTCTACTACATAACACAGCTTCCACTACATAACACAGCCTCCACTACATAACAGCCTCTACTACATAACACAGCCTCTACTACATAACACAGCCTCTACTACATAACACAGCCTCTACTACATAACACAGCCTCTACTACATAACACAGCCTCCACTACATAACAGCCTCTACTACATAACACAGCCTCTACTACATAACACAGCCTCTACTACATAACACAAGCCTCTACTACATAACACGCCTCCACTACATAACAGCCTCTACTACATAACACAGCCTCTACAAACATAACACAGCCTCTACTACATAACACAGCCTCCACTACATAACAGCCTCTACTACATAACACAGCCTCTACTACATAACACAGCCTCTACTACATAACACAGCCTCTACTACATAACACAGCCTCTACTACATAACACAGCCTCCACTACATAACAGCCTCTACTACATAACACAGCCTCTACTACATAACACAGCCTCCACTACATAACACAGCCTCTACTACATAACACAGCCTCTACTACATAACACAGCTTCCACTACATAACACAGCCTCCACTACATAACAGCCTCCACTACATAACACAGCCTCCACTACATAACACAGCCTCTACTACATAACACAGCCTCCACTACATAACACAGCCTCTACTACATAACACAGCCTCTACTACATAACACAGCCTCTACTACATAACACAGCCTCCACTACATAACACAGCTTCCACTACATAACACAGCCTCCACTACATAACAGCCTCCACTACATAACACAGCCTCCACTACATAACACAGCCTCCACTACATAACACAGCTTCCACTACATAACACAGCCTCCACTACATAACACAGCCTCCACTACATAACACAGCCTCCGCTACATAACACAGCTTCCACTACATAACACAGCCTTCACTACATAACACAGCCTCCACTACATAACACAGCCTCCACTACATAACACAGCCTCTACTACATAACACAGCCTCCACTACATAACACAGCCTCTACTACATAACACAGCCTCCACTACATAACACAGCCTCCACTACATAACACAGCTTCTACTACATAACACAGCCTTCACTACATAACACAGCCTCCACTACATAACACAGCTTCCACTACATAACACAGCCTCCACTACATAACACAGCCTCCACTACATAACACAGCCTCCACTACATAACAGCCTCCACTACATAACACAGCCTCCACTACATAACACAGCTTCCACTACATAACACAGCTTCCACTACATAACACAGCCTCTACTACATAACACAGCTTCCACTACATAACACAGCCTCTACTACATAACACAGCTTCCACTACATAACACAGCCTCCACCACATAACACAACTTCCACTGAATAACACAGCCTCCACTACATTACACAGAATCCACTACATAACACAGCCTCCACTACATAACACAGCTTCCACTGCATAACACAGCTTACACTACATTACACAGCCTCCACTGCATAACACAGCCTCCACTACAAAACACAGCTTCAACTACATAACACAGCCTCCACTACAAAACACAGCCTCCACTACATAACACAGCCTCCACAACATAACACAGCCTCCACTACATAACACAACCTCCACTACACAACACAGCCTCCACTACATAACACAGCCTCCACTACATAACACAGCCTCCACAACATAACACAGCCTCCACTACATAACACAACCTCCACTACACAACACAGCCTCCACTACATAACACAGCCTCCACTACATAACATAGCCTCCGCAACATAACACAGCCTCCACTACATAACACAACCTCCACTACACAACACAGCCTCCACTACATAACACAGCCTCCACAACATAACACAGCCTCCACTACATAACACAGCCTCCACTACATAACACAACCTCCACTACACAACACAGCCTCCACTACATAACACAACCTCCACTACATAACACAACCTCCACTACATAACACAGCCTCCACTACATAACACAATCTCCACTACACAACACAGCCTCCACTACATAACACAGCCTCCACTACATAACAGCCTCCACTACATAACACAACCTCCACTACACAACACAGCCTCCACTACATAACACAGCCTCCACTACATAACACAGCCTCCACAACGTAACACAGCCTCCACTACATAACACAACCTCCACTACACAACACAGCCTCCACTACATAACACAGCCTCCACAACATAACACAGCCTCCACTACATAACACAGCCTCCACTACATAACACAACCTCCACTACACAACACAGCCTCCACTACATAACACAGCCTCCACAACATAACACAGCCTCCACTACATAACACAGCCTCCACTACATAACACAGCCTCCACTACATAACACAGCCTCCACAACATAACACAGCCTCCACTACATAACACAGCCTCCACTACATAACACAACCTCCACTACACAACACAGCCTCCACTACATAACACAACCTCCACTACACAACACAGCCTCCACTACATAACACAGCCTCCACTACATAACACAGCCTCCACAACATAACACAGCCTCCACTACATAACACAGCCTCCACTACATAACACAACCTCCACTACACAACACAGCCTCCACTACATAACACAACCTCCACTACATAACACAGTCTCTCTATATAACATATCCTTACCTCTACAACACAGTCTTCACTATAATATACCATAACCTCCCCTGTATAACATAGCTTCTCCTATATACCAGAGCATCATCTATATGGTACAGATTCCTTTATATAGTCTCTATAAAAGCCTTCCACATATAACACAACCATCTGTATATAATGCAACCATCTGTATATAACAACCATCTGTATATAATGCAACCATCTGTATATAACAACCATCTGTATATAACACAACCATCTGTATATAACACAACCATCTGTATATAGCACAACCATCTGTATATAACACAACCATCTGTATGTAACACAACCATCTGTATACAGCACAACCATCTGTATTTAACACAACCATCTGTATATAATGCAACCATCTGTATATAACACAACCATCTGTATATAACACAACCATCTGTATATAACACAACCATCTGTATATAGAAAAATGACAGGATGGATAATGAGAACCTTCAAAACTAGGGAGGCCAAGCCCATGATGACACTCTTCAGGTCACTTGTTCTATCTAGGCTGGAATATTGCTGCACTCTAACAGCACCTTTCAAGGCAGGTGAAATTTCTGACCTAGAAATTGTACAGAAAACTTTCACGGCGCGCATAACGGAGATAAAACACCTCAATTACTGGGAGCGCTTGAGGTTTCTAAACCTGTATTCCCTGGAACGCAGGAGGGAGAGATACATGATTATATACACCTGGAAAATCCTAGAGGGACTAGTACCGAACTTGCACACGAAAATCACTCACTACGAAAGCAAAAGACTTGGCAGACGATGCAACATCCCCCAATGAAAAGCAGGGGTGTCACTAGCACGTTAAGAGACAATACAATAAGTGTCAGGGGCCCGAGACTGTTCAGCTGCCTCCCAGCATACATAAGGGGGATTACCAACAGACCCCTGGCAGTCTTCAAGCTGGCACTGGACAAGCACCTAAAGTCGGTTCCTGACCAGCCGGGCTGTGGCTCGTACGTTGGTTTGCGTGCAGCCAGCAGTAACAGCCTGGTTGATCAGGCTCTGATCCACCAGGAGGCCTGGTCACAGACCGGGCCGCGGGGCGTTGACCCCCGGAACTCTCTCCAGGTAAACTCCAGGTAATATAACACAACCATCTGTATATAACACAACCATCTGTATAACACAATCACCTGTATATAACACAACCATCTGTATATAACACAACCATCTGTATAACACAACCACCTGTATAT